GACAATGCGGTGTTGTGTGGACCGTGTAGATAGTCAACAAAAAAATGCTGCATTTGGATATATCCAATATTGCCTGAAAAAAGGGAGGAAAGAAATATATCCAATACGACATTTGCAAGGAACAAAAAATCGACCTCACGGAACATGCGTCGACTTTTTCTTTTTTGAATGTTGAACATGTGTTGACTTGACCTTGGCGACCAGAAGATATAGCTGCTGCGGCCGCACGGCCAGGATCGGACGGCCGAAGTTGTCACGGGGCCCGCCGCCCACGCCCCTGGCCTAGATTTCGGCGGAGAGTGCCGGATCGACCGGGGCGCGCAACGATCGGACCGTCCAGACGAGAGCTCCGGACACCAGCCGCATTCCCCTGTGGCTCCGGTCTCTCCTCTTCCCCATCGCTTCTTCTGTGAAAGGAATCTCCCTCGCTCCCTCCACGGCGTCCAGTCTCGTTTCCTCGGCTGCGCCTTCCAGAAGGGAAGCCTACGCTGCATGCCTGCATCTCGCAAATAAAAACTCTCAAGGCTAGCCAAGCTCTACTCCTCTGCCCCGTACTACTCCCACCTTTTATTTCCCTTCCTTCCCCGTCGAATCCTCGCTCCGCCCTGACCTTCCAGCACGGCTTCTGATCTTCCGGCGCCGCTCTAGGCCACTGCAAGGGCTGCCGCCGGCCGTACCGTCACCGCCGACGCCTCCACCCCTACCTGCCGCCTTTGATACGCGATCCATACGGGTCGGAGGAGATCTCAGTAGCAGCTGGTGGTGCACCGTTTACCTTACACGACGGGTAAACTCGCCACGGGGGCCGGCCGGGAGCAGCGGCGGTGTCAGCCGGGCGGGAGTCCGTCAGTTGGCAGTAAGTACTCCACCCCACCGGTCAATGCGGTTGGCCACCGTGCTTCTCCACTCCCTCGTCCTCTAACTACTCCACTCCATTAATTTGTAGGAGTAGTGCCCTCCTCGCCACGCCGGCCGGCAAGAGGCGGAGAAGGTGCGCGCTCGAATCGAAACGGCCGGCACTGACGCACCGCGTTCGTGTCGCCTGCCGTTCTTCCTCCATTTATGCCTTCCTTCCTCTCTGCTTGCCCTCGTGTCGATCGTTACGCCTTTTTCTCCCCGCGCCCAGCTTGCACTGCGTGCTGCTCGCCGTTCCGTTCTCCAAAAGTGAAACCCCAACAGCTGTTTCCAATCAAGTTTAACACCAAAACCGTATTACGTATACGCTCTTGATTACGCTCTCCTCCCTTGTCAGCTCATGTCGTGTCATCCCTATATATTTTCCCCTGAAGAATATAGACATTTTCACCGATTTTTCAGATTGCTTTGTTTACATTGATTTTCAGATCATCTCGGCGTCAAGATACACCGCGCGCACTCTGTTCACGCGACGGGTAGACCAGCCAAGGTGCCGGCCAGGAACAGCGGCGATATCTACCGGGCGGGAAGCCGTCGGTTGCCTTCTGTAAGTACCATCATCTCATCCTCACCGGCCGGTCAGTGTGGTTAGCTTACGCTCTAGCATCGCCATTAATCAGTGTCCTCATCAGTAAACATCGGCCCATTAATGGCTTGTTTAAGGTTGGTTGGGAAGGCCGAGCGGCCACCTGGCCTAGATTTGTGAAGAGGTGCTGCCAAAGCGAAAGATTTTGAAAAATTAAAGAGGATCAGCGGCGGGGGCCCCGCGGCGCAGACACTCGATGGCTGGTCGCTTTTGGGGCCGGGCCCGGCGCCTGAAGGGGTAAAAAAGATAAAGAATGTCGAGGCAATACGTTGATCTCGGGGGCCATACTACTGCATGCAGCAGTGATGCTACCACGACTGTAGCTCAATGTGCCTCGCGCGGCGAGCTAGCTGATGCTGATGCTGCTGTCTTGTGTCGACTCTTTCTTCCCCATACGCTTCTGTCCCGCGTCGGACGTCGCGCTCATCTGGATTTAAACATCGTCGACGAGTAGACCACCAGCGTAGTAGTAGTACTGTATACGTAGAGTGACAGCGGCGTCGACGTGAAGAGAAGCTTCGCTGCGCGTCATTTACGCCAGCTTGCATGCGTATTTGCATTTGTTTTCTCATGCATGCGACGCACGTACGTCATGGGCGCGGCGCTCTCCGGGCAGTAGCTAGGTCTGACCAGCCAGGCAGACGCGTCGATCGCAGGTCGAACGTTGAAGATTTTGTTGCGTCTCTCTGTGCATCTACCTGCGTGACTCTGCGCTCTGCATGCCCGCGCTCTCGGCGCTCCGGCCATGTCTCCTCACTTTGTCTTCACAGTGTTTTTCTCTACGCTGCTGCGTGAGAACAGCCTGGTCTGCTGCCTGCCGGTGCATGCATGCACGCATGCTGCTAATGGACATGGGTTAATTGCATCGCACTCCTTACAGTATTATGAGTAGCACTGTAGCAGTCTTCCTCCTAGCACTGTTCTTCTCGCTGGCCTGCCCCGGTTAGGCGCCGGTGAGAGCTCTATCTCGGCCATAGTCAGGGCATCTCTAGCCGCGCGCCCAGGAAGGCCTTCCTAGGCATTTTTTTTACGCCGGCGTCGAAAAATCGGCCCAGTCGCGTCCCCAGTAGCCCGATTTTCGCTGGCCTGGGCCGAAAACAGCGCCGGCGGATCCAGGCCGGACCCGGCGCGTTGGGGGGCGCCCGGGGGCAACAGGCGAACTTTTTTGGCGCAAAAAAGCCGCGGGCCCGCCGCGTCAGCGACACGGCTCTCTTCTCGCCTCTTCATCGTCCTCATCGCCTCGTTTCCCGCGGCGAATCAATGCCAAAGCTGCCGCGCTGCCTCGCCGGGTCAGCCTGCGCCATTGATGCCTCACGGGCGGCGCAGTGAAGGCCGGACGACGCGCGTCCCTCGCCCGCCACGCGTACACACGGCGGCCACGCGTACGGGCGGCGTCTCGGCCTATATAAGACGCGCACCAGCGTGCTCGGCGATCACACTCTCTCGCCGTCGTCGTTCCTCCCTCTCCTCTCTCTCGTCGTCGTCGTTCCTCCCTCTCCTCTCTCTCGCCGTCTCCACCCATGGCCGAGCGCTTCCCTGGTGACGGCGCGGCGGCGAACGGCTTCGGTCGCCGCCATCTCCACGAAGACGAGGCTCGCCTCCTTTACGAGGCCGGGTACCCGGTCCCGCCGGACATGCGGGTGCCCGGCGCGTGGAGCATCAGCGCCGGCGGCGTGCCGGTGCCACCACCACCCACCGGGGCGGCGCGGCGTGCGGAGATCACACGCATCCGCACGTCCCTGCCACGGGCGGCGAGGGAGGGGCCACGGTACGTCCCCGACAGCCCGCTCTGGGAGCCCTACTTCCGCCGCCGTCACGCCGAGCAGCTCGAGGCCACCAACGGTGTCGTGCCCTCCGGCAGGCTCAACTCCAATGGCCGGCGCCGGTGGTGGGGCGTGCCCGGGCGCACGTTGGAGGCCGCCCTCGAGTACATCGAGGGCGGCAACACGCCGCGCCTCGAGTACCCCGATCCCCCGTCCTTCTCACGCCGCCGGGGAAGCTCCTGGACCCCGAGGCGCATGGAGACCGGGGGGGTCCTCCTCGTCATCCGGCGGCTCGCCCTGCCTCCCTCCCCGTCAAGCCGGAGCCCCAGGGCACGCCGGTCAGTGCCCGCACGCGCAACTCCGGCGTCCGCATCGGCGCCAACGCCTCCCCACCCACCGGCCGCTTCGTCCTCGTCAAGCCCAAGCCGGAGCGCGACCTCCCCGCGGAGTACGAGGAGATAACCCGGCGCGGCATCTCCGACGAGGACGCCCTGCGGTGGGCACGAGACGACTACCTCCGCGACGAGATGGTCCGGCAGCGCCGAGCCCTGGAGGAGATCGCCGCCCGCAAGCGTGGGCGCGAGGACGAGCACGGCGTCGTGGTCCTCGACAGCGACGACGACGCCCCCGGACCGTCCAACCCGCCGCGCCAACCGGAGGAGGGATGCAGCAGGGACAGGGACGGCGGAGGCGCAGGCGGCGGCGGCGACGACGACGACGACGACGGCGGCGGCGGCGGCGACTACACGCGGTTCTACCGCCTCCTCGGCATGTAAACCGCGTGGGCGGGCGGCGAGGGAGACGGCGGGGGTAGCCCGCGGAAGTTTTTTTCTTTTTTTGTAAAATATGTTTAAGTTTGAACGAACTCGCCGATGCTTGCGTTAAATTTCAGTCGTGTTTGCGCTGTATTTGAATTTTTTAAAAAAACGTGGGCGTCGCGACTGGGGGCATTACGCCCCCAGTGCGCGGTTTAGCGCCGGCGCGCCTCCGGGGAGCGATTTTTTGCCCCCTCCTGAAAGGCCAACGGCTGAAGATGCCCTTAATCCTCACAGTTGATCTGCATGTCTCACCGCTTGCCGGGCGGCGCAAATTCAGCTCGGTCGATCGCTCTGCTGAGGGGCTGACACGGGTGGTACTATGTAGCTAGCCGCGCTCGTCGGCGTCCCGCGCGCACGTGCGGGCCGGGACGGTCCCGTGGTCGAACAGTCCATGTCCGCGCAGTGAGTAGTGACTGAGCAGCAGTGCCGTGACATTGAAATGGCGTGGTGCCAGAATCCGTACGTATTTGTTACGGCCCGTCGTTCTAGCTAGTAGTACACTCGTAGAGTACGACCGATATTGTGGCATTAAAGAAGTAGCACCACCATGCAATATCCACAGTAGTGTACAGTACAATTAATGTTTGACCTGCACCCGCCTCACCAATGTTTGACTTGACCCTCTCTCTCACACTCGCAGATCTCACATATGGATACTGCGTTCGGTCGTATGCGCGCACACTATCTGTAGTTTTAATTTGCACCGCCTGCATGCATGTGCGTGTCAAAGTGTCAATTACTACAGGGCGTCTCTTAGATATGATATCGTACGTCACGGTACCACCACCAATGAATGCACGTTGCCATGTGTGCTCGCTATATATTCTGTTCTGTTGTGTGCAGGTAGAGCGCGCGCGGTGCAGCAGCGAGAGGCGATTGACCGACCCGTGCTGCTGAGCGTTGGAGGCCGGCCCGAAGATGCTGGCCTGCATCGCGTGCTCCGCCAAGGAAGGCGGGGAGGACGGCTCCCGTGCCGCGGCCACGCCGGCCGCCAGGTCTCTCACCTCACAGGTACCATCTGTCTCTCTCCAACCACTAGTGTACCAGCGTGCGTGCCACTCTCCTGGACCGAGTGTACCACTGTTTTTTCTAAGGACGCACCTGCCAGTACCTGCTCTTCTTTATCTCTCTCTCCCTGTTCATACTGTACAGTGTATATGCAATGCTTGTGTTGTCTCGTCTGTCAGCCTGGGTAGGAGACCAGAGGATAGAGGGGTCGATCGAAGGTTGCAGTTAATAGGGAAAGGAAACGGGAATGGCTGCCGGGACGAACGGCCTCTGCCACTGGCCTACGTACTTACCTATATTAGTTACAGCACAGTGGTGCACAGCACTTGGCCAGTGAGCCTAGGAATTGCCCAAGCAGGGCATGCCGGTGCGGCAGCCGATCGAATTAAAGCCTCCTCTGCCCAGTTAGTTATAGGCTAGCTGCATGCAGATGCAGGGACGATAGCCGCTGCGTTTTGGCAAAAGATGCCAAGCCCCGGGGTTGTTGATCGATGTATCATCTACATGCAGACAAAGAAGATCAGCTACCTATCTGTCTATACGTATGCGGTTATAGGAGTCCTGGCCCTGCTGGCTGCTCCCGCTGGCAATTTTTTGGCGCTTGCTCGTTTATAGGAGTAGAGTAGTAGTTCCGCCACCCCACGCAAACGCAATCAAATGGCGTGAGCCCAGCTCGACCGATCGTCCTCTTCCAAGCCTCACGCTGTTGTTTCTGTCCCTCGTTCATTGCATCTCCTTGTTGCCTTCTGCAGCACATATGCCATATCTGTGTCACACACACACATAGAGCGCGTCCCAGTTAACAAGGATGAAGGAAATGAGTAAGTACACTAGCTTCCTAGTTAGACCCTTAATAAGGATGGGTCGGCCAGCCAGCCAGAGGCTTCTTTTATCTGAAAATGCACAACACCGTAGTTTTCTTCAGACTTTGGCGCGTCTAATTATGATGCAACCATGGATGCGATGCAAAAGCAGTGCAGCTAGCGTGAATGACAGTGGTTCAATCGACCACTTTCTTTAGCACCACGTACGTACCGAGAGTATGTACGTTGCTCCATTCCGTTCCATTCCTCGGGAAAAAGCTAGGCCGGTCAAGGGAGGACACGATGCGCACTGATGAGTAGACGTGGTGGGAGAGAAGGCCGCCAGCCACCTTTCCTTTGCTTTGCTTGGATCCCCATCCCCATCCCCCTACCACCTTTGGAGCGCTTTGCTTGCCGGTTCCCCATGGGTCCGTCGTCGACGACATTCTTTCACTTTCTCTCAAACTCACCACCGCCCATTCGTCTCTCGTCCCCTTTGCCGTGGAAATAAAGATCGAGCAGCAGAGAAGCCCATGGGTAGCGTGGACGCACCACGACGACAGCGCCTGCGTTCATGTGCTGCCGTGTGTGCCCTGGACTGGGGATGGACCCGGCAACCTGCATCACGTTTTGCCGGTACGTGGAAAGCCATGCCTCGGCGGCTTTGTTTCCCCTCGTCTCCGAATAAAGCCGGCCCGCTGGTCCCCCGCCCAGGGGCTACGGGCCTACGGCGGCGCCTCGGCCCACCCTTTAGGCCCAGGCTGGGCCTCCCCGCCCGTTGGGGCTGGGCTGGCCCGGGCCACGCGAACACGGGGCCTGCTTTTGAAGTAGGCACGCAACGCATAATGCATGCATGCGGCGGGATCATACGCCGCCTTTGGAGAACGCATGCATGCATCACGGCGTGGTTCCTTGCTTCAGACAAAAGGATAATAAAGATTTCACTGGTATCAATCCGGCGTGATCGCTAGCTCGCTGTATGTATGTACGTAGCGTGGTCCTTTGTACTAGCAGTAGTAATCTGTGCTCTACATGTAGCCTTGCCATACATATATACCCACTTTTCTTTGATGTGAACTTGTTCGTTAGTCAGCTCGTCACTCAAAGTCACTTGAGCACTCAACGAGCATATCCTTTCTCTGGCCAGCCATGATCCATCGCCCCCTTCCTTAAAGAATTCGTATATATGCACTTCTGTTGGTACTGACTAACCATGCATTGCGTGGTAGCTACTTATGCTAATTCCAGTCATGGCTGATGTTACATTGCACTCATGACTCATGACTCATGAGCGGTTAGTGACTAAGTGAGTGGTGTGTGGCTAACTGGTTTCGTTCCTGCGTACGTACGTACGGTGCAATGTGTTGTCTTCAGCTCAAGGACATGGTGCTCAAGTTCTCCAGCTCCAGCAAGCACTACAAGGGGGCGGCCGCCGGGAGCCCCTCTTTCAGGAGCTACCGACGCCCCTACCCGGGATTCGTCGACGACACTACCTTCACGCCGACGGGCAGACCCGCGAGCGACGCCGGCGCGTACACAAGGACTACTGCGGCAGCAGCGAACGGGAGCGCGCGGGCTGCCTCGTCGGCAACGTGGGACATGACCGGGCGCGGATGGCCGGGCGTGGACGAGGAGGACGGCGGTGAGATCGTCGCCGCTGGGGTGGACGCCGCCGTGCCCAGGGAGTGGACGGCGCAGGTGGAGCCCGGCGTGCAGATCACCTTCGTCACGCTCCCCGGCGGCGGCAACGACCTCAAGCGCATCCGCTTCAGGTATTTACCGCATATCAATTTACTTTGTTCAGCTAGCTTTTGCTCAACTGACGTGTCCAGCACATGCATGTTGAGGTGTTGAACTGATTAACTCTTGTAATGTGTGCCGCGTACGTAGCCGTGAGATGTTTAACAAGTGGAAGGCGCAGCGGTGGTGGGGAGAGAACTACGACCGCATCGTGGAGCTGTACAACGTGCAGACCTTCAGCGGCACGCAGCAGGGGGGCTCCACTCCGACGTCCTCCGTCGACGACTCGCTTCTGGTCGGTTTACGCATTGTTGCACGCGAAATGTTTCCTTCACTTGAACTGATTCATCCATGACAATGACATACTGATCGAACTATTTCGGGTGCAATGCTTCGCTTGCAGAGAGATTCGTCCTATTCCCGGGGCGGCTCCACGAGGGACAGCCCGGTCGTCATGATGCCGCCGCCGCCGCCGTCATCCTCGTCGAGCAAAGACCCGATGTCACGGAGCGTTTCGTGCAAGGCGATGATGCCGCCGCCGTCGGGGCCTTACGGGGCGGGGCCATCCACCAGGGCGGCGTACTACCCGTCCGCGGCGGCCGTGCCCGACCCGTCCGACCACGTCTGGGCGCACCACTTCAACATGCTCAACTCCGCGGCGGCCGGCGGGCATTCCTCCTACGACCCATCGCGCGCCACCACCTCCTCCCGCGACGAGGCCTCCGTGTCCATCAGCAACGTCAGCGACATGGAGGCGACGGAGTGGATCGAGCAGGACGAGCCCGGCGTCTGCCTCACCATCCGCGAGCTCGGCGACGGCACCCGCGAGCTCCGCCGCGTCCGGTTCAGGTATATATGCCTGCCGCCATCCATGAACTTGCAAAACCTTTCTCGGTTGATCGGTATATGAATTCATACACGTTTGATCAGCCCGATCTCATGCATGTTCGTGTAACTATTTTTTCAGCCGGGAGAGGTTTGGCGAGGACAGGGCGAAGGTGTGGTGGGAGCAGAACAGAGACAGAATACAGGCGCAGTATCTGTAGTTGATCTGGTTAAGCTAGTGGCGTTGGAGATAGATTAAGGGAGATAATGGTGAAAAGAGTGTGAAGAAGGGATAACCGGATAGGTGGAAGCAAACTAGTGGTGACCGTGGTGCTCGGCTTGGTGAAATATGGAGGTTGCGTTTGAATTTCAATGTGCTCCTCTGCTTTCTGTAGACTTTAGACATGTATAAACCTGATATGCTCGCCTGTCTTTGGCTTATTTTACCTTTTCTAAGGCACCAATGTGGTTCATTCGTTGGTTTGATTTAGTGTTATGTTTTTTTGCGTTTCTTGGTGGGATTTGGTCAGGAAGTACTGAATTTGTGAATTTATGCGTGTCGATGTTGGCATGTTTGGGGAAAGTCCATAGAAATGCATGGCCAAGGAGAGGCTGACCGATGTGGGATGCTTATTGGCAGGGAAGTTCGTGAGAGATAGTATCGCTCACATATGATGAATATAAATAAATCTGAACGCACTCATGGAATTCAAAGTTTCATATACGCTCAAACAATACGATAAATATAAAACTAGAAATTTCACCGAAGAGGATTTTTGGAATATGGATACACCGGAACCCACTTCATAAAACTTAGCAAACAATGTATTTCTATGTTTTGTAAGTTCCACAAAAAATATCATCCATATAGTTTTTGTAAATAATACTACGGTCAATTTTAGTTGGAGAGTGTAAATTTTGCTTGATTGATTCCGGTTACATGAGTTATATTATATATCCTTGAGAGTGAGAGAACTGAACGCCCCTACAAAGAAAGCACGCATGCCATGGGCGTCGGCTGAGATCCTAAAGACTATGGTTCTGTTTGGTATACCCCCCCCCCCCCAACTCACCCCACCAACATATTATTCACGCCAAATTCCTTTTCTGTTGTTTGATTTGTTGCCAAATATTTGGCCGCCAATAAGTTGTTTGGGGTTGAACAGGTTCGTGGATCGGCTCACGTACCTAGAGCCAGTGCTTTGCCTCCTCCTCCTTCAAGAAAAAAAGTTAGGGTTCGTGCCCCTCGTCGGCGCCGGCGCAGGTCCGCCTCGTCTCCGGTGGCCCTAGGACCATGGAGGCGCGGTGAATTCTGACAAGGGCCGGCGGGAGGGCTTCGTTTTTAGTCGTTTTTTCAATCTTGTTAGAGTTTGTGTCCTACTTAGGAAGGCGAGACGGCGGCGGCTCTCTGAAGATGAAATAAATGTCTTCCCGCCTAGTCCCTGTTCCGGCGGTGCATCTAGCATCGTTGGTGGGCGTGTGGAGGTGTGTCTCCGGCAGATCTATCTTTGGTGGATTTGCTCGGATCTCGTCGTTGTTCGTCCACGTTCGTGTGTCTTCGGTTTGGATCCTTCCGATCTACGTTATTTTTCATCAGCGACAGTTGCTGTTCTGGGGTGCTGGTCCTATGGGACCTTAGCACGATGACTTCCCGACTGTCTACTACAATAAGTTGTGCCCTGCTCCGGCGATGGAGGGGCGATGACGGCGGCGCGCCTTCAGCTCGCTTCGATGCTTATAGTCATCGCTAGGTGGTCTACGGACCTGGATGTAATTTTTATTTCTGGTGTTCGTTGTACTGCCATGATTGAAGATAAATAGATTGAAAGTTTTTCCGAAAAAAAAGTTATCTGGGGTTGTTTGGTTCGGACCAATTCTGGCCCGGCCAACCGTGGGCTCACCAAATAAATGATAAACGTTTTCACCACTCGTCGATTGCCAAAAACTGGCAGGGAATTGAACTAGCATGTTGTGGAGGGCTTGGGTGCACCAAAATTTTGGCATCCATTCTAATGAGAACTTAGGGGCTAGGTGGATGCCAATTTTTTTGTGGGGGCGTACGAGGGCATCAATCCAAACAGTTCTTTTGTTGTTGCCTTTATAAATTGTTTCCAAATCTTTGGCAAACCTTGGGCTTTCAATCCTGCACCAAATAATTAGCAAGGGAATACCGACAGAGCAGCTTTAGGATAGCAAGAACCAGACGACCCTAGGACTTTACACAATGTGCACATTTAGCTACAACACGGTTGAAACGGTACAATTATAAGGTAACCCCCCTCCTAGTCCGAACACCCGTTTGGTAGGACGTTTAGGCTGGAACTAGACTCATGAAAAACTTGTGATGGCAGCCCTTTCGTGAACAAGTCAATGGACTATGAGCTGGACGAACATGTAGCACACGTGCTTCATCGAGAACCACACGATCACGAACGAAATGAAGATCATTCTCGATGTGCTTTGTGCGTTGATGTTGCACTGTGTTGTAGGCTAGGCTAGGCAGGAGGCACTGATGTTGTCACACTAGACGATTGTAGCCCAAACTAGAGGACACTAGAATTCATGTAGTATCAATTGTAACCAACAAGACTCAGCAACATAATTAGCAACTCCATGATATTTAGCTTCAACACTTGAATGTGTCTGTGGGCTGCTTTTTGGAGGATCAAGAGATCAAATTCAGACTGAGGAAGACACAAAAGCCATATATTGAAGTCCTGGTGTGTGGACAACTCGCCCAATCTGAAGGAAATATGCCCTAAAGACAATAATAAAGTTATTATTTACTTCCTTATATCATGATAAATGTTTATTATTCATGCTAGAATTGTATTAACCGGAAACTTAGTACATGTGTGAATACATAGACAAAAACAAAGTGTCCCTAGTATGCCTCTACTTGACTAGCTCGTTTATCAAAGATGGTTATGTTTCCTAACCATAGGCATGTGTTGTCATTTGATGAACGAGATCACATCATTAGAAGAATGATGTGATGGACAAGACCCATTCGCTAGCTTAGCATTATGGTCGTTACAGTTTCATTGCTACTGCTTTCTTCATGACTTATACATGTTTCCCAGACTATGAAATTATGCAACTCCCGAATACCGGAGGAACACTTTGTGTGCTATCAAATGTCAAAACGTAACTGGGTGATTATAAAGACGCTCTACAGGTGTCTCCGTTGGTACTTGTTGAGTTGGCATAGATCGAGATTAGGATTTGTCACTCCGATTGCCGGAGATGTATATCTGGGCCCTCTCGGTAATACACATCACTATAAGCCTTGCAAGCAATGTGACTAATGAGTTAGTTGCGGGATGATGCATTACGGAACGAGTAAAGAGACTTGCCGGTAATGAGATTGAACTGGGCTTGTTGCGAGAAGCTCTGGTTTGTGAGAAACTTATATCCCAACCTGCCCCAAATGGGACAATATTTTTACCACTGCATGTTGATGCCGTTCCATGATAGCATGTCAAGTTTCATGAATTTCAGACGAGTTTTTGATTTGCTAGAATTTTATGTATCTTAATGTTAGCGGGCGAGCGACGGTGGCAAAGGTGTTTGACATTCATTCCCATTTCTTGCATGGGACCTAAGGTTGCAACCAAGGACACACATTTGATTTTTCAACCTGTTTATACGCACTGGAGCATGTGCATGTAGTTCAAATTTGAATTACGCACATGAACACATAGAAAACTCAGTTAATGTATAAAAATGTCCAAGCGAACCCTTAAAAATCCCAAAAGTTGACGCAACGCTCCTGTTGTTCTATGTTGACACGAGAAAAAAATTGAAAGTAAGAAGAGGCAACAGATATCGTTTCGTCCCCCAAGGTGGCACATTCCCTACCGAAACCATCAGGCTTATTGTGAGAGAAGCTCTCGTTTGCGAGAAGCTTATACCCAAACTTGCCACAAATGGGACAATATTTTTACCACAACATGTCGATGCCGTTCCATGATATCATGTTAAGTTTCATGAATTTCAGACGGGTTTTCAATTTATTAGAATTTTAAAACCATGTATCACAATGTTAGCGGCCGAGCGACAGTGTCAAGGTGTGATGACCCACAAGTATAGGGGATCTATCGTAGTCCTTTCGATAAGTAAGAGTGTCAAACCCAACGAGGAGCAGAAGGAAATGATAAGCGGTTTTCAGCAAGGTATTCTCTGCAAAGACTGAAATAAGTGGTAGCCGATAGTTTTGTGATAAGGTAAATGGTAACGAGCAACAAGTAACAAAAGTAAATAAGGTGCAGAAAGGTGGCCCAATCCTTTTTGTAGCAAAGGACAAGCCGGAACAAACTCTTATAATAGGAAAAGTGCTCTCGAGGACACATGGGAATATCGTCAAGCTAGTTTTTATCATGTTCATATGATTCGCGTTCGGTACTTTGATAATTTGATATGTGGGTGGACCAGTGCTTGGGTGATGTTCTTACTTGAACAAGCATCCCACTTATGATTAACCTCTATTGCAAACATCCGCAACTACAACAAAAGTATTAAGGTAAACCTAACCATAGCATGAAACATATGGATCCAAATCAGCCCCTTACGAAGCAACACATAAACTAGGGTTTAAGCTTCTGTCACTCTAGCAACCCATCATCTACTTATTACTTCCCAATGCCTTCCTCTAGGCCCAAATAATGGTGAAGTGTTATGTAGTCGACGTTCACATAACACCACTAGAGGCTAGACAACATACATCTTATCAAAATATCAAACGAATACCAAATTCACATGACTACTAATAGCAAGACTTCTCCCTTGTCCTCAGAAACAAACTTAACTACTCAGAAAGCATATTCATGTTCATAATCAGAGGGGTAATAATATGCATATAGGATCTGAACATATGATCTTCCACCAAATAAACCAACTAGCATCAACTACAAGGAGTAATCAACACTAGTAGCAACCTACTAGCACCAATCCCGGATTTTGGGACAAGAATTGGATACAAGAGATGAACTAGGGTTTGGAGATGAGATGGTGCTGGTGAAGATGTTGATGAATATTGCCCTCTCTCGATGAGAGGAGCGTTGGTGATGACGATGGTGATGATTTCCCCCTCCCGGAGGGAAGTATCCCCGGCAGAACAGCTCTGCCGGAGCTCTAGATTGGTTCCGCCTCGTGGCGGCGGAGTCTCGTCCCGAAAGGTCGCTTATGATTTTTTTCTCATCGAAAGACTTTATAAAGGAGA